TGCATTGCCTTTCATTTGAGGATCATATGTGGATTATATGAGAATCATATGTATATACAATCATATGAGAATCATATGTGGCAAATCATATGAGAATCATATGTTTACACATATGTATATCATATGATTGTATTTACATATGTTTCTCATATGAAAGACCCTGCATATGAGAATCATATGAAACTGATCATATGAGAATCATATGAAACCATATGAATCACTAATTTGCCTTTGTTATACCCAGGTAAAAATCATATGAATATTTTGACAGTGATCATATGAGAATCGTATGAAATAATGATCATATGAGAATCATATGAAACAGTGTTCACTAATTTGTCCTTGGTAAATGCAAGTAAAATTGCAGTTTCAATAATATATATCAATAGTAATTTAAATATACATTAATTCAAAAGAATTTGTTAGCAATTACTTTTGTAGAGTTCTACTCTGTTTAACACCCCTCCCCCTTCTTTCCCTTAAAAAAAAAACGTTCACAATTTTTTTTTCTGTAATAATGTATTTCCCAGATAAAATTAATAAAGAATAAATCAATTTGCTTTTTATTTCAAATCTTTCGTTTTTGGTTTATTACTTGAGTAAAATAAAAAAAAATTCCGTATTTTTTTCCGGACCGGTTTTGACTTTTAGCGGATGAAAGTGAACGTCATGTTTGACGTCACTGCTGCAGCAGAAGTGCTGGGTGTTGGAAAAAGTAAGTTTTTTATAAAGACCTTTAATTCATATTGTTTAAATATCCTTTCATTACGGTTACAGGTTCGTATGAACTTATTTCTATATAATACTCTCATCAATTGTAATTGTTGAATTAAGGTCAAGACCTAGTAAATGAAAGGTGCCTACAGATTTATCAAACTTGAGAAATACATTCCTTTATTGATGCTTAACAACTTTAGCTTGGTCAAATAAGGTGTTTCGGGGCATAATTTGTAGGTAAACAAGATGAAAAACTGTATTTTAAACTGTCATTTTCAATGAAAAATTAAGAAAACCAGTCATGAATATGGGATTTTTTTTCGTATTCGGCAAAGAAAATGTATCCAGATTGGCTACAGTCTCTCAGAAAATGGTAATTAGTATGTTCATGGCCTCTTCTTCAAATAAATATCAAATTTAATATAGGTATCCGGTTTACTTTTCATATGATTTCAAATTGAACGACATGAAAATACACTATTTTCTACATAATTCTGCTAAAGCCGTAAAGTACGGGAAAAAGAAAGTTGAAATTAATTATGACATCATAATGGATCTAGCACCAAAAAATTAGTCTCAAGTTATTTACTAGATCTTGACCTTAAGGGGGGACCTATGTCGTTCTACGTCAAGGCAGCGTTATGTGACGTCACAATAGCGACGTTTGTTTTTACCTGTTGACTTTTGCAACTGTGATATAGGCACAACATTGTTGATAATCAATTACGTACAAAATTTACAAAACGGAAAATTTATTCATCATTAATCACAGTTTTATTTGATTTATGGAGTTTGTTAATATTAGAATTCTCCTCCTTTGGTTGATAATTCATAACAATTTCTGTTGTGAAAAAATACCCCGATAATATGCTGATATAATAGTGCAAAAAAGAGATAAAATTCAGGAAAGAAAGCGGCTTAAATCAGGGGAAAATGTTTAATTTAATAATTACCATTAATCGATTTTCTGGAGAAAACTAGAAAAAAAAATTAAGAAATGTACTTGAACAGGTGTATATTTGCTTATTGATTTATATAGTACATGTAGATTTTATTGTATAAAGTCATTCCTAGGTTCTAAAAGGCATTGGTTGTTGACGGGGGTGTGGGGGGGGGGACAGAATGAATGGAATGTAGAAAAAAAAATCTATTTAAATTGTTTCTAATCAAAACAAAATACTCGTTTTCCGCAAAATAGTTTTATATTCAGGTGTTTGTCAGTGCTTACTTACCCTTTTTTAGTGCAGAAAGGTCAATATTTATGACACAAGAGTACAAAAATAAAAGGAAACGTCATATTTCTTGTTTATTTTATCATAAAGGTATACTTTTTTCTTTGTTGAAATAAAGAGATGAATCATTTCTTTCAAAAAATATGAATTACAAAATTTTCACACAAAGACTTTTTAAGGTATTACCTGTTATGCATGTCGGAATTGTAAAAAATACGACAAGAAAAATGGGGTAATACTTACATTGTGCTCCATTATAATTTTTCATGCGAGATGGATTTCAATGAATTTGCCTCCATTTTAAAAATACAAGTCATATAAATTAAATAAGTGTTGATTTTGAATATGATTAAGATTTGACATTTTTGGTTCTTTTTAGCGCATATTTGGGGTAGAACAATAATGACTGAAAATAATCTATTTTTAGCATTTCACACTGTTTTTGCACGTGCTCCTGTGTAAAAATAAACATATAAAGGTATTGTTTTTAATACCTAAAAATTAAGAGCAAGTGGTCAGGAAAGAAATGTCAAAATTTTGAAAATTTCACACAAAGACTTTTCGGACATAGGTCCCCCCTTAATGCATTTCGCATCCCTACATGTATAATGTTAGATCTAGTGATCTGTAAGTATATTTTGGATAAATTTGTTTCTCATTGGATGTAAACATTACAATTTACGTGTTAGGCTAAAGGCATTACTTTGTTAGCTCTACTGGTCAGAGACCAGAAGAGCTTATGCGATAGTAATGCGTCCGGCGTCCGTCCGTCCGTCTGTCTGTCTGTCCGTCTGTCTGTAAACAATTTTTCAAAATGCTACTCCTCCTACAGTTTTGGTCTAATTTCAATATAACTTGGCACACAAGTAGACTACACTAAGATACATAATTCTGTGTATCGGTTTTAGATTTCGATGAACGGTGTTGCCGTGGTTACTAAAAATAGAAATTTCTGTGAAATTCTTTCAAAATGCTACTCCTCCTACAGTTTTAGTCTGATTTCGGCATAACTTGGCACACAAGTAGAATACACTAAGATACATAATTCTGTGTATCGGTTTTTGATTTCAATGAACGGTGTTGCCGTGGTTACTAAAAATAGAATTTCTGTGAAATTCTTTCAAAATGCTACTCCTCCTACAGTTTTGGTCTGATTTCAGTATAACTTGGCACACAAGTAGAATACACTAAGATACATAATTCTGTATATCGGTTTTTGATTTCGATGAACGGTGTTGCCGTGGTTACTAAAAATAGAAATTTCTGTGAAATTCTTTCAAAATGCTACTCCTCCTACAGTTTTGGTCTGATTTCAGTATAACTTGGCACACAAGTAGACTACACTAAGATACATAATTCTGTATATCGGTTTTTGATTTCGATGAACGGTGTTGCCGTGGTTACTAAAAATAGAAATTTCTGTGAAATTCTTTCAAAATGCTACTCCTCCTACAGTTTTGGTCTGATTTCAGTATAATTTGGCACACGAGTAGAATACACTAAGATACATAATTCTGTGTATCGGTTTTTAGCTCTACTGGTCAGAGACCAGAAGAGCTTATGTGATAGTAATGCGTCCGGCATCCGTCCGTCTGTCTGTCTAGCTGTCCGTCTGTCTGTAAACAATTTTTCAAAACGCTACTCCTCCTACAATTTTAGTCTGATTTCAATATAACTTGGCACACAAGTAGACTACACTAAGATACATAAAATAGTGCATCGGTTTTTGATTTCGATGAACGGTGTTGCCATGGTTACTAAATATAGAATTTTCTGAGTAATTCCTTTAAAATGCTACTCCTTCTACAGTTTTAGTCTGATTTCAATATAACTTGGCACACAAGTAGACTACACTAAGATACATAAAATAGTGCATCGGTTTTTGATTTCGATGAGTGGTGATGCCATGGTTACTAAAAATAGAATTTTCTGAGAAATTCCTTTAAAACGCTACTCCTTCTACAGTTTTGGTCTGATTTCAATATAACTTGGCACACAAGTAGACTACACTAAGATACATAAAATAGTGCATCGGTTTTTGATTTCGATGAACGATGTTGCCATGGTTACTAAAAATTGAATTTTCTGAGAAATTCCTTTAAAACGCAACTCCTTCTACAGTTTTAGTCTCATTTCAATATCACTTGGCACACAAGTAGACTACACTAAGATGCATAAAATAGTGCATCAGTTTTTGATTTCGATGAGCGGTGTTGCAATGGTTACTAAAAATAGAATTTTCTGAGGAATTCCTTTAAAACGCTACTCCTTCTAAAGTTTTGGTCTGATTTCAATATTACTTGGCACACAAGTAGATACACTAAGATACATAAAATAATGCATCGGTTTTTGATTTCGATGAACGATGTTGCCATGGTTACTAAAAATAGAATTTTCTGAGAAATTCTTTAAAACGCTACTCCTTCTACAGTTTTAGACTCATTTCAATATCACTTGGCACACAAGTAGACTACACTAAGATACATAGAATAGTGCATCGGTTTTTTATTTCGATGAGCGGTGTTGCAATGGTTACTAAAAATAGAATTTTCTGAGAAATTCCTTTAAAACGCTACTCCTTCTACAGTTTTGGTCTGATTTCATTATCACTTGGCACACAAGTAAACTACACTAATTTACACATAATAGTGCATCGGTTTTTGATTTCAATGAACGGTGTTGCCATGGTTATTAAAAGTAGAATTTTCTGTGGAATTCCTTTAAAATGCTACTCCTTCTACAGTTTTGGTCTGATTTCAATATAACTTATCACACAAGTAGACTACACTAAGATACATAATTCTATGCATCGGTTTTTGATCAGTACAAACCAGTAGAGCTACAGTCTCGACAGAGACTTCTGGTTTTCTTTTTGTTTTGACATTTGTTACCTACTGATTTGAAAGTGAAAGTAGAAACCCTGTATAGCAGTTGGCGTTTTGTATGTTGAGATCGTTATCAAGTCGATTTTTTCATCGACTTAATGACAGATGTTTGTTTTTATGGCATATAGATACATTCAACAACTTGAGTTCAGTGTCACGTACAGTGCTGCTTTTTTATGAAGTCCACGAAGCCCAAAGCTGATAAGACTGGCGATTGATCCTAAAGCTGATTCTGACAGACGATTGCACCATCACAATATTAAAGGTAAAAATATTGCAATAAAAAATGAAAGTGTACATCTGTAATGACTCCTTCATGACAAAATTTTTCTTGATTATTTCTTTTTGTTCCTTTATAATTCTACATTGTTTGCACAGCTTCATCAAAAATAAATTCAACTCAATAATATAGAAGTTTTATTCTAGGCTACATTAATTATGAAACAATTTTAATTGTAAATGCACTTTTTAAATATGGAAAGTATGAATAGAATTTTCTTGCTTTAAAAGCTATGAAACTATACAATTACTTCTAAGGGTAAATTGAATTTTTGAATTTCAGCAAAAAATTAACATTGGCAACTTTCAAGGTACAAATACATGTGCATGTGACTATGTGTTGAAAGTACATCAGATAGCTAATCCATTGAATATTTACATCTATGTATTCATTGACATTTATAATTTTTTTCCAACACTAGAGAACCTAGTTTCAGGTAAATTGTAAGATATTTAGGACAATTAAGAACCTACAAACTTGTACTCTCTCTTTTTGTAGTTTAAGTTTTAGTTATGCATAGAAAATATTTACTGTGTGAATATTTGTTTTACAGGTTCAATATACAGTCAGCCTAACATAAGAAAAAATCCAAAGATCCACGGCTTGCTACAAAGTTAAGGTAACTACACACTGTTTAATAGACTTTGTTATATTCTTCCCAACAAAGTCTGGGATATCCTTGAATCACAAAGTCTGTTTTTTCTGCCTATTTGTGTCAAAATCTTCTTAATTTTTGGCAATTTGAATTAATATATACTATTTGAACATTCCAAATTCAGTTGTCAAATAAAAAATGCTTTTTTAATGATTTTAATTTGAAGCATATCTTCCAAAAGTGTAATTGTCTTGCAAAATTTAATTCAATTGTAAAAATGTAAAAAAAATGTTTTTTATAATTTTATTATGAAGCATATCTTCTAACAGTGTAATTGTCTTGCAAATTACATCATAGGATTCCACAAAACACGTTGTATAACATATATAACATTAGTTTTATCTCGTATTAAATTTGTGTCGGTGAATTGGGAATATTGTTTGCTGATGATAAGTTACTTCAATATAACTTGAAGAATTGATTTTGTAATTTTAGAATCATTTTATTTTTATTTTTGAAATTTTTGTAGAGACCATTCTGTGCCACAAAGAAATTGTTTAGGAAGGGGAGAACTGGTGGATTTGCATTTTTGGTACAGTTCAAAGAGATTTTTAAAATGGTCAGATTAGAGGGAGGACAACTGAAAATAATAGAGATACAGAAGGAAAAAGAACAAGGAAATATATGGAATAATTATGTAATGGGGAGGATGTACACAATTTTGTCTGAATTTGACCTGTAAAGATTTCCCATTCTTATATGTATGCTGGAATATCAAATAACTTGATTTTTCATAAATTTATAATAGAGAATACATGACAAATGTTATTGCTGATGTTTCAATTTTGCTGTGGACACTTTCATGTCATATGGTATTTTTATACAAGTACATGACCTAATCATGTGACCTAATCATGTTATTCATTTGTACATGTATACATATTTAACTACTTAATCATTTTGCTGAAATCTTATAATTTGTACTCATTTAAGAATATGTTAAATACATGTATCGACAAATGCTACTGACTTGTTTGTATATTCTCTTGTTTAGAATGTACACTGTGAAAAATAAGTTATTTCTCTTGATGAAAATAACTTTATCATAAAAGCATTATAAGATATTTTAAAATATGTAACCAATGAAGATAGATCATTGTAATGTAATGAATTTTCATCTAAAGCAGAAATATCTGATTTTTAAATGTGTACAAGAATGTGAATAATATTGAAAGAGAACACACATAAGTGTTTCATATGATTTACATATGATGCCCTTTTCATATGATTCTCATATGTAAATGGCTTGAAACACACAAAGGTGTTTCACATGATTTACATATGATGCCCTTTTCATATGATTCAGATATGTAAATGGCTTGAAACACACTCAAATCATTCATATGAAAATCATATGTAGTTATTTTCATATGATTCACATATGTGGATCATATGTAAATCATATGATTTGCTTCATATGATTCACATATGATGCCCTTTTTCTATGATTCTCATATGAAACCAATCATATGAGAATCATATGATACTCTTATGAGAACCATATGTGGCTAAGTTGCCTGTGTAGGCAGCCGCACGAGATTTGCATGCATATTAGGCCTCCTTAGCTCCTGATGTGTCGACCTTCCTAATTTTCATTCCGGCAGAATTATCAAGAAATAAACTCCGACAACTTTCAAAGAGTTATCAGAGAGAAAAAAAATAGAAATGGAAATATAATTTTTAATATCATTTATTTCTAAATTAATAATTATTAAAATGAATCATAAATCATGATACTCGGAATAAGAAGGTATAAATTTTGTTTGAAAGAAAACGTCAGGTAATTGTAAAAACAGTCACGTTAAAATTACACCTACATGTTTGTATAACATC